GAAGACTCACAGCGGAGACCCACAGTTTCTTGTCCTCCGATTCGCGTGGTTTGGCAACGTACGGTGCGAGAGAAGTTCGACCTACACACACACACATCACTTGCCCCGAGCGGGCTAGTGGGGGCATTCCTCTTGTTCCCGCTCATCAAAGACCCCCTCTCACAGTCTCGTCACCACCAGCACCAGGGCCTAGCCATAGGTCTTCTCTTCCCTTCTGGGTGCTCGCCATCACCCTGCACACCACGTGTCCCACCCATCACCCCTTCCCCCCCTCCTCCTGTTCCCTACCTACAAGTTTCTTCAACCCATCATCCTCCTCATTTTTTCCACGTGTCCCACCCATCACTCCCTCACCCACGTGTCCCACCCATCACTCCCTCCCCCACGTGTCCCACCCATCACTCCCTCCCCCCCTCCTGTCCCCAATCTCCAAGTTGCTTTAACCCATCATCCTCCTCACCCGCCCCCACGTGTCCCACCCATCACTCCCTCCCCCACGTGTCCCACCCATCACTCCCTCCCCCACGTGTCCCACCCATCACTCTCTCCCCCACGTGTCCCACCCATCACTCCCTTCCCCACGTGTCCCACCCATCACTCCCTACCCCACGTGTCCACCCATCACTCCTCACTCCCCTACCCCACGTGTCCCACCCATCACTCCCTCCCCCACGTGTCCCACCCATCACTCCCTCCCCACGTGTCCCACCCCCACACTCCCTCCCCCACGTGTCCCCCCATCACTACCTCCCCCACCGTGTCCCACCCATCACTCCCTCCCCCACGTGTCCCACCCATCACCTCCCTCCCCCACGGTCCACCCATCACTCTCCCTCCCCCACGTTTCCCACCCATCACTCTCCCTCCCCCACGTGTCCCACCCATCCTCTCCCTCCCCCACGTGTCCCACCCATCACTCCTCCCCCACGTGTCCCACCCATCACTCCCTCCCCCACGTGTCCCACCCATCCACTCCCTCCCCCACGTGTCCCACCCATCCCACTTCCCTCCCCCACGTGTCCCACCCATCACTCGCCCTCCCCCACGTGTCCCACCCATCACTACTCCCTCCCCCACGTGTCCCACCCATCACTCCCTCCCCCACGTGTCCCACCCATCACACTCCCTCCCCCACGTGTCCCCCCATCACTCCCTCCCCCACGTGTCCCACCCATCACTCCCTCCCCCACTGTGCCCACCCATCATCCTCCCCCACGGGTTCCCACCCATCACTTCCCTCCCCACGTGTCCCACCCATCACCTCCCTCCCCCACGTGTCCCACCCCAGCCCTCCCCTCCCCCACGTGTCCCACCCATCCTCCCTCCCCCACGTGTCCCACCCATCACTCCCTCCCCCACGTGTCCCACCCATCACTCCCTCCCCCACGTGTCCCACCCATCACTCCCTCCCCCACGTGTCCCACCCATCACTCCCTCCCCCACGTGTCCCACCCATCACTCCCTTCCCCACGTGTCCCACCCATCACTTCCCCTCCCCCACGTGTCCCACCCATCACTCCTCCCTCCCCCACGTGTCCCACCCATCACTCCCTCCCCCACGTGTCCCACCCATCACTTCCCTCCCCCACGTGTCCCACCCATCTACTCCCTCCCCCACGTGTCCCACCCATCACTTCCCTCCCACGTGTCCCACCACTCATTCACGTGTCCCTCCCCCGTGTCCACCATCATCCTCCCTCCCAACGTGTCCCCACCCATCACTCCTCCCCCACGTGTCCCACCCATCACTCCTCCCCCACGTGTACCCCCCATCACTCCCTCCCCCACGTTGTCCCCCCCATCACTCCCTCCCCACGTGTCCCACCATCAACTCCTCTCCCCCACGTGTCCCACCCATCCCTCCCTCCCCCACGTGTCCCCACCAATCACTCCCTCCCCCCGTGTCCCACCCATCACTCCCTCCCCCACGTTGTCCCACCCATCACTCGCATCCCCCACGTTGTCCCACCCATCACTCCCTCCCCCACGTGTCCCACCCATCAACTCCCTCCCCCACGTGTCCAACCCATCACTCCCTCCCCCACGTGTCCCACCCATCACTTCCCTCCCCCACGGTGTCCCACCCATCACTCCCTCCCCCACGTGTCACAACCTATCACTCCCCTCCCCCACGTGTCCCACCCATCACTCCCTCCACCACGTGTCCCCCCCATCACTCCCCTCCCCACGTGTCCCACCCCATCACTCCCTCCCCCACGTGTCCCACCCCATCACTCCCTCCCCCACGTGTTCCCCACCCTCACTACCCTCCCCCACGTGTCCCACCCATCACTCCCTCCCCCACGTGTCCCCACCCTCACGTCCCCTACCCCACGTGTCCCACCCATCACTCCCTCCCCCCACGTGTCCCACCCATCACTCTTCCCTCCCCCCACGTGTCCCACCCATCACTCCCTCCTCCCACGGTCCCCCCATCACTCCCTCCTCCCCCCCTGTCCCACCCATCACTCCCTCCCCCACGTGTCCCCACCCATCACTC